TGTATAAGTTATGAATGTCTTTATACTAAACGTTTTCTCTGTTCAAAGTAATATATATGTTTGTATTTATAAATGTGCATTCTACTGGTTGGATTTGTGGAAGACTAACAGAGATTGTACTTTGCCTGTCTGTTCAAATCTGTGGAGGCCAGAGGGGTCTGCATGCCTCCCTGCCTGTCCCCTTGTCCGCATTTCTCTGCGGGCCAGGCGTGTCTGCACACACGTCTTCCTCTTGGAAACAAATGCTTCAGCCTAAGGGGGGAGAGTGGTTACCACCGTTCCTAGATTCAGGTCTGTCTTTGGGAAGCTCGTCTGGGTTACATGACTATGTTTTCTCCATTCCCAGATGGTAAAGACCATAAAATCTAGGGAGAGGAGAAACGTGGTGCGATTGGATAGTGAGTTAAATTCTTGACCAACCTTAGAAGTATTTAAAAAGATTTTCAGCACAACTGGATAGTGAACTGATGCTGGTGTTCTTGTCATGCGGTCTAACACGGAGTCTGGGGGATAGGGGAGGGTTATGACAGGGCAAAGAAGATGACGGTTCTGTATCTGTCAGCCATTTGTAACAGAAAGTTTGCACAGGTGAATTATACTTTTCTTCTTGTTAGGTCTGGTTTGTAAGAGGGAGAAGGACATTTTAGACATATTTCAAAACTGAGTGGCTGATGAGGCTGCAGATAGTTTTTTAAGAGTTCGGGGAAATCAGGCAGTGTCTCATCTGTTGTAAATTAATGAAATGAAACTGGGGTCACTAGAGTACAACAATGAATGAAAGGTCAGTGAATGGAAAAAACTGTCAATGAAGGAGGGTGTTAGCAGAGTGGAACATTGTCTTAGATAAAGATCAGGGAAAATGTACTCTTTGGCTGAGGTAGTGTTTTCTGGAAGTGACTAGCAGCCATAGTTTGGGACATTTCAGTCCAGACTGAGCACTAAATGAGTGCTCTGATTTCAACAAAATCTGTTAAATATTTTAAGGCTCTTCGGGTTTGTGCCTGAGATCAGTTGAAAAGATACGTAAAAAAGAAGTTTCTTTTTATTTTATAATGTGTTCTACAGTGTGTTATTGCTGTTTTGTTTGGCTTTTTGGTTTTGTTTTGAGGTTAAAAACAGGTTTCTTGCTTTCATTTATTTCTGTTCTCTTAGAATTTTCTAGAGCCACGCTCATCTTTGAGAGTCCCCACCCCACCTCCCAAGATAAACTGATTTAGGATCATGGTAGTAATTAGTGATAAAGCTGACCTCAAACAGCCCAGGCTGGCCGATGCTGGTGATTGCTGCCAAATCGTATCCCCTCTGAGAGCTGCATTATGGAGGATGGCCTGGAAGTCCTCAGGACAGCTTCAGCTTCCCCACCATCTTGCACACTGTGATCACGAACAAACCAGTGACTGTTTCTGTCTTAACTAGTTCAGCTGTCAGCTCTGTTCTTGGTTACGTGTGAAATGAGAGCATTGAGAGTCTCTTGTGTCTCTAGTCATGTCAGACCGCTTTCCCTTTTTTCTCCCTCATTGAAGCTTTTGAACCATATATGGCTTTGGGGAAGTGAGGCTTTGCCATCAGTTTGGGAGAGGCCCATGGCTGTTTTTAACTTGGTATTGAGACCTAGGTCACCAGGTGCACCATGCAGGGCCCTAAAGAAATCAGCAAGGCTGTCCCTGCATCCTAAGAGTTAATCCTATAGTATTTGGAGAAGATCTATAGCACAACGATTGACAGTACGGTCTCTAGGGCCAGGCAGCTGGGGCTTATATCCTAGTTCTACCAGTTGTTACCTTGTGTCTTTTTGAACCTCTGTTTTCCTATCTCTAGAATGGGAATAGTAATAGCAGCCGCCTCCTAGTTATGAAGATGGAGTAAATACTTGTAAGTGCTTAGAGCAATGTGTCACTTAGTAAATGTTAGGTAATTCTTTGATCACTTGTATTATTTGTACGTCTGATTACTTATAAATTTAAAATAGAATTCAAATGGAGATTCTTTGGATTGTCTCTCTTTTTCTCTGAGAGGGTTTACTGAAATATGGTTCTGTTGGATTTAAATGAGACACCAGTCCATGAAGTGTTTTGGAGCCAGGATAGGGAAAAAATGTGAGAACAGTTCCCTATAGAAACACCAGAACCACAGAAGTTAGGAGAAACTAACATTTAAACTCATTAAATTGTGACCCAAAGAAATTAATTGATTAATAAATATTTATCAATTAATAAATTGATAAAATAATTTATTGATAAATTAATTTATTAATCAAAATAAATTAAATTGTAATCAAAATAGAGCCTGTCAGTTATTATGGTGGGTAGGTGTGAGATGGGCAAAGAATGGTAAGACCTTTTAACACTTACTGTTATAAGAAATACTTGGAGGGAAAAAAACCATACCTCACCTTGAATATAACTATTGTGCAACTAGACTGAGAAGGGACAGAACAAAATTACAAATCCTAATCAGTGACCCTCATATACATAGGCCATTAGAGGCTGACCCCTTTCTTGAGGTTGCCCGTGGGTTATGTCATGAGTGTAGGAGTTCTGCAAGTACTCTGTCTCCATACTTGCACTGGCCCTAGGCTAGCATTTCTTTAAGTGCGAGTTGCCCTAGCTATTAATAGATTTTTAGGGGGTGAAATGGCAGGGGACACTCCATGGTCAAGCAAGTTTCCCAAACTTCTTTGAGTTAAATTAAACTCATTTTTTTGGAGATACCTTTTGGAGCCTTTAATAATGCTAGTGTGTGCTGTGACTCTCCCAGGGACAGGGTGTGCGGCACTTCTCTGACTGTTTGGGCCAGTGTCCCCTCTGTCTGTCTGCTCCCTGCAGGACCCCAGTGCTGGGGAGCACACTTTAGGAAATGCACCCTGAGAAGCACTGCTTTTTTCCCTTTATGTCTCTGGTGAATCCTAACAAGACGTAGCTGAATAATTAGCTGCAGATGGAGGGTGGAGGAGGCCCCCCCCAGGTGAGGCTGGGTCCCACTGTATCTGAGCTCAGCTCCGCCGCAAGGCTCGATCGTGGGGCTCGATCGTGGGGCTCGATCGTGGCTCGATCGTGGGGCTCGATCGTGGGGCTCGATCGTGGGGCTCGATCGTGGGGCTCGATCGTGGGGCTCGTCTGTGGTTTGCCGAGTGTGCGTGCATAGGGCATGGCAGTGGCGGTGTTATTCCTGGATGGGAGAATAGCGCTGGAGTGTGAAATCACAGCGGCTTCTGTGTGGCTGGAGGTCATGCTTGGAAATGGCAGGCGGTGAAGCCACGAACCTGTACAGGGACACGTCCCCAGGGCCGTGTCTGCCACCTGAAGGAGTTGGGGGATTCTGTAATGGAACCACCTGCTCTTGCCATTGGGTTATCTTAAGCACCTCGGTAAGCACACTGCTGGCGAGAAAGGTAGGAGGCTAGGGATGCGGACTTCAGCATCTTGCAGGTGGCAGACTTGTCACCGACTTCCGGCCACCCTCACTTGCATCAGTGTGGAGCCATTGACAACAGACACAGGAGTCCAGATGACCACCGGGGACAGTAGGGATGACATCTCCCAGCTCCCTGTGCATGGCAGGTTTTGAGAGCACGTTTTGTATTAGCTTCTGCGAGTGGGCTGAAGACTAGCAGACTATAACTCAAGGATCCGGAGATAAATATTAAAAGAGATTTTAGTATCTTGTTTAAGGCTTGATTGAAGAGGTAAAAGTGAGGGTTTCCTTGACTCCTAATAACATGTTAATTTTTTTGATTAAATAGTACTAAAAATATACAAGTATTTCCTGTGATCCAAATCTCTTTGCTTCCTGACTTTGAACTTAGCAAGTAGTGAGGGTTTGGCTGCAGAGGATTTCTCTGAAAATTTCTCAGAATCTTTAGGTTCTGGGTCTGGATGTGGATAGCGAGGAATATTTAGGTTGGAGAACCCAGGGAAGACCTTGCTCATTTTTTCTTTTCCAGAGGAGGTGAATGTGTCTCTTGTGGCTGGACAGAGTGCTCTCCGTTACGAAACGGCAAGATTGTGTCTTAATGAAGGTCATAGAGCAGATCATTGTAAGGACTGGACTAGGAAGAACAGGATTCTCCTGGGTCTAGGAATCTTGGCACGAGTCCTTTATGTCCCCTAAGCAGTTAGGGTCTGTCACCACTTCTTCATAGTGCTCAGCAAAATGAACCGCGGAGTCTGGAATCCATGGTGATTATGGGAACTTTGATTCACTGTCCAGGAATTTCAAGGGCTTGCTGTGGAGAATATTTGCAAGAAGAGGGGTGTGTATGTTTGTGATACCTTTGAAATGAAACAACCTGTATAGTAGGAAGATTTTAAGTTAATTCTAGGAAGAATTTTTAACTTGATCAGTTTTATTTTGAAGAAATAACATCTGGCTTCAGTTCACTTTTTTTTTTTTTTAATATCCTCATTTTGCTCCTGTGAATATTTGTCTTGGCTTGGTTATTTGCTACTTATTTTAAATTCTCTTTAAGTTCCACAGAAAAGCATTCCTTTGGGGGATGGGGAACAGGGAGGAAATATAGGATATGTAATGTTGGAGATGGAGAGGACGAGAGGAGTCCTAAGTGTCCTCAGGGCCGCACCCCCTCTTGTGGCCCCAGAAGCCAAGGCTCGGTGCCGGGCTGTGTGCCATACCTAGCGGCTGGTACCTGCGGACGGGAGTGCGTGTGCAGGGGTGCCAACCTGCATCTGTGGGATTTGCTTTTGTCTTTTTTTTTTTTTTTTTTTTTTTTAAAGATTTTGATTTTATTTATTCATTTGTCAGAGAGAGAGAGCATGAGCAGGGTGGGGGTGGCGGGGAAGAGGCAGAGGGAGAAGACTCCCCGCTGAGCAGGGAGCCCAATGCAGGGCATGAACCCAGATCACGACCTGAGCCAAAGGCAGACGTTTAACTGAGTGAGCCAGCTGGGCGCCCCTGGTTTTAAACCGTTTTGTTTGAGCAGTTCCCCTGACGGCTGATTTTTATCTTTGTATATGGCATAATTCTATGATGTTTATTCTTAGGTGGGTTTGCGGAGTTCTCCCGTTGTTTCCCTGGCCTCTGTGAAGGAAAATCTGCTCTAGTCCCTACCTGCATTTCTCAGCCTTGCCTACCTGTTGCCAACATTGGGCCAACCCGAATTCTTCCCAATCTTTATCTCGGCTGCCAGCGAGATGTCCTCAACAAGGTGGGTGCTTTGAAAACCTCTTTCACTACAGGGTTTGTTAGCAGCTGGAGAAACTGATTGCCTGTTCGCTGTCATTTGAAGCACCTGCTGCTTCCAGAAAGGAAGTACCCCGTGCTCAGTGTGGCTCCCTGTGAGCGGCTGGTTGGTTGGGTTATGTTCTAGAGGGCTGTTTTGTTTGATGTTACTGATTGCCACAAGAAGCCTAATCTGTTATCGTATTGGCTTATTTCTCGAAGGTCCTGGAATAGGACAGGATTTTTCAAAAGTTTAGCTTTATTTTCTTAGGGTATTCATTTTCTCTGTTGTAGTAATTGGGCATACTCAGGAAGGCTTTGACTTCCTAGATTTCACATTTAGGAATGTATTTACTGAGGCACACTAGAAAGGAACTGGGCTTAGGCTTGGATTGAAGAAGGACCTCTGGCCGGAGGGATGGGGGTTGGGAATAAGATGGTGAGGCCAGGGCTAAGGGCATGCATTTCAGGCTCCCCTGTCAGAAGTTCGCTGGAGCAGTTTCATTGAGAAAGAAGAGGAAAGAGCATGGATTCTCACTGCTGAACATAGTGTGCCTAACACAGGAACCTGTATTAGTACCACTGAGTATCTGAAGGTACAAATGTTAATAGTCGTAGAACTGAGCTCTGTCTCCATAGCTCATATGCTCTTAACCAGTAGTGCTGGGAGCCAGTGTTCTCGCTGCCAAGAATAGTGGTTTTTCTCTAAAACCTCTTTTTACACCACCTATAATAGAAAAAGCAAAATGTTAATTGACCTGTTGGTGATTTACAGGTACAACTTTCCTGTAGGAGGGGGATAACTTAACATTTTTTCCCTGGGTAGCTGAAAGCATTGGGTTGACCCTAAAACTAACTTCCGCACTTGCTTGTGTTAGCATGTGAAAAGCAGAAATACCCTATCGGGCTGCGATGAGGCATTCTTTCATTTCTCTTTTTTGTTTTTAAAACTCCTGCCTCTCTCAAATTTTGCCTCAACACTGTTGTTAATATGTCTTTTATTGGGATATATTTGAAATTTGATAGTTTGTACTTGTATTGAGCCTTTTCTGGTGGGGTCACAGTTCCTTTGAACATATGATTAATATTAATTCTCTTTTAGAGATAGACTGTGTCACAGAAGCAAAATTAATTTCCTAGAGTCACATGCATCCCTGGGGCAAAGCTGAAGATGCTTTAGTTAATCCTCAATTCAGAAAATGAAATAAAATTCCTAGTTAAGAATCTTGCTCAGAATTACCCCCCAGTTTAAAAAAAAAAAAAAAAAAAGTAACCAGTCAGCAGGTTATTTTACAAATAATTGCATTATAGATAATTTCTGTTGCTTTTGACATTACATTAAATGGCCCATTTTTGCTATGTGCTGTTTCCAGGTTTAACAACTGTATCATATAATAACTCTGTGAGCGCCTGCAAGGTGAGAGCAGTTAAACTGGACCCTGGAGTCAAGGATGGGGAAAAGGGTGCTTTTTTCCCTCCTTTAATTGGCTTCTCAGTGAATACTGAACAGGATACGTCCACAGATGCATTGGGAGAAGGTGGTCATAGGGGGAGGAGTGGACTTATGGAAGTTCATGGGGAAAACAACCTGGGCAAGGAGTTTCTGTGGAAGACTGTCAGGAAACTTCTTGAAAACAGATGTGTAGACTAGAGGATGGTAAGAGGTCAGCATGCTTTGAAAGTGGTGAGTAGAAACTCATATTGGCCTATGGATTCATTGTTGAGAAGAATCAAAGTGCTTAATGGGATTTCAGCGATCATGTAGTGAGTCTTTCTTTGATAAATGAGGAAGCCAATATTACAGAAATATTAGATGAATTATGCAGCATCGCTCAGCAGATGAATTTGGGACCAGATGTGCCTCTATTTCAGGATAGCTTGAACTGATCTTCCTGCTCAGCTCTGTGATTTAAACTTTCCTGAGGCTTCCCTGAGGTTCTGCTGCCCCCCCACCCCCGCCCCGGGAAACTGTGCTGTCAGTGTGCTGCTTGTTCATTCCCTCGTTTAACATGCAGAGTTGCTGGTCTTCCGCAGGCACTGGGATGGCTGCTCTTTCTCTGTTGTTTTCTTACCAGAGTTAGCCTAGACACAGAAGACTGCCTTTCCATATATATGGCCTAGGAAGACAACAGATCGAAGTTATCAGTAAAAATACACCACACATTGTGCAATTTGGTTAGACAAGACCTATTCATTCCACAGTGATGCACAAGACGGGATGACTGACTGTAGACCCACTGGCAGGGCAGCATGGCCTCACGGTGGAGAGCCGGCCTCGGAGCTGGCCAGTCCAGCGTCCGGGGCTCCGCCTCACCAGCCAGATCAGGTTAGCTGAGCTGCTGAATCTGGGCTTCCTCACCTACGAACTGCCATGATCCTGCCTTCTAGCGTTCATGTCAGGTTCCAATGAAGTGACGCGTGCCAAGCACCAAGGACAGTTCCTGGTCTGTAAGGACCCTGGTTACTCTCAGCAAGAGGCCCAGCGTACAAGCTGCTAGCTACAGTGGGTGTGGTTGGTTGAGGAAGGTGATGGAGGAGATAGGACTTAAGGTCAGTTTTGAAGGCAAAAGGAGTGGCAAATGCAAAATTACTTACTGAATTGACTTCAGAAAGAAAAATTACAGTTCCATTATCTAGAACTGTGATGCCTGTGGTGATTTAATGTGCCATCTCTCCTCAGTCTAGCTGAGCATGGGAAACTTGATCAAATAGAGCAGTTTTATCTATCTCTCTTTATATCAATATGTATATTGGTATATGTTGGTCTGTGTCCCATATACTACTCCACAGTCTGCATCAACAGATCATAGAACCCTACTTAGAAACCAGTCCAACTACAGGACAAAGTTTATTTCATGGTTTAGGAGACAGAAAGTTTTAAAGGGAAAGAATTGTGAATGGAAATCGTAATTAATAATAAAATAATAAAATAAAGATTGTTTTTTTTTTTACTAGAAAATGCCATTTCTGGAAGTTTTCTTAATTGTATATTGAAGCCAGAATCCAATTTTTAAATTCTCAAGGGACAGTCTCAAGGGACAGATGAACCCTTTTTATATCCAGCCTGCTGTATTCAGTGTAACTGTCCTACTTAAGGCCAATGAGAAGAAGACCGTTTGAATTAGTGAAAAATGTACATGACTTGTTTGGAGGGGGGCAACTTTTTGAGACATAATTCATATACTGTATGATATAGAAGCTATTTTTTATTGAGATGTAATTGACATATATAAGGTTTCAAGTATACATGATTTGCTATTTTCATATACTGTAAAACCACAGTAAGTCTAGTTAACGTCTGTCACCACACAGTTACACTTTTTTCTTGTGATGAGAATTTTTTTAAGATTTTATTTATTTATTTGACAGAGATCACAAGTAGGCAGAGAGGCAGGCAGAGAGTGAGAGGGGGAAGCAGGCTCACTGCTGAGCAGGAAGCCCCATGTGGGGCTCCATCCCAGTATCCTGGGATGATGACCTGAGCCGAAGGCAGAGGCTTTAACCCACTGTGCCTCCCAGGCGCCCCTTGTGATGAGAATTTTTAAGATCTACTCTCTTAGCATCTTTCAGATATACAGTAGACAATTATGAACTACATCCGCTATACTATAGGTATTTATTATTGGAAGTCTGTCCCTTCTGACCACCTTCACCCCACCCTCATATATGTTCTCTGTATCTTTGAGTAGATTAGATTCCTTTTGACTCCACATGTGCTATCAGACAGTGTTTGTCTTTCTCTGACTTATTTCACTGAGGATAATGTCCTCAAGTTCATCCATGTTGTTGCCAAAGGCAAGATCTCATTCTTTTTTAATGGCTGAGGAACACTGCATTGTGCACGTATATACCACATCTTTATAGGTTCATCGGTCGACGGGCCACTTAGGTTGCTTCCATGTCTTGACTGTTGTGAATAATGATGCAGTGAACATGGGCGCGCAGAGATCTCATCAAGTTAGTGTTTTCAGTTTCTGCAGATACCCACTCAGAAGTGGAATTGTTGGATCCTATGGTAGTTTTATTTCTGATATTTTCAGGAACCTCCATACCATTTTTCATAGTATCTGTGCCAATTTACATTCTCACAAGCTGTTTATAAAATAAGATAAAGTAAGGGAACTAACATTTAATGAGACTCTTACATTATGTGCCTGTTATTTTGTCCTCAGATAGCTTTACAAAATAGACATCATTAACCCTATCTTACAGGTGAGGAAACCAAAGCTGAGCGAGGTTAGGTGACCTACCCAAGATCATGCACGTCATGAATGGTAGTGTGCTAGGTGGTGCTCTGGTTTTTCTGGGCCACATCCCATATACTTTTAATTATTCCTGCCACACTGAGTTCATCCATGCCGTAGGAGGGAAGGCCGAGCATACAGGTGTGTGTGCTGCCAAAAAGGTAAATTTGGTTCGTGGAAATTTATACAAATTTGCTTCTGATTGTTTCACCTTTTTCAGTGTCATAGGAAACAAGATCGTCTATCAGCTGAGAATGAGGATTTTCTTTTGAAGAAAAAGGGAAGTGGGTGGGATGGTGTCTAGGAGAGAGGGAAAGTGGAGGGACTAGGGAAATAAAATGACTACTGAGGAGCATGAGTCAGAAGTGAGACTGAGCAGCCTTGTTGAGCGTTTCTCCCTGGCCGCATTCAGCTGCGTGGGTGCAGATGCAGACCAGGTGGGGAATGAGATTTACCCAGGGCTGCACAATCACCAAGTGACTGTGAAGAAGCCTAGTGGGACAAAAGAGGGTGGAAGCAGGGAAGTGGTTTATAATGACTGACCACAGAATTTCACTCGAGCAAGGCATGAAGGCAGACATCATGAGGATAAAGGACAGAAAGAAAAGGAGGTGGGATCAGCAGCGTGTGGATCCTGGGGAATTGAAGGATTCCGAGAGTAGTGGTATAAGAGACAGCAAGCCGGAAGGACAGGAGGAAGAGTCCAAGAGTGGGGTGTGTGAGGTCGAGATTCGGGCTGGGT